AAATCTAATCTGAGGGCCAGGGAGATAGCTCAGTAGAATAAGTGCTTGCCTGGCAATCGCAAGACCCTAAATTCAATCCTTGCGGCGGGGGGGGGGGGGGGTGCTAATTTGAGGTTCTGGAAAACACCAGAGACTAAACTCACTGTTATGAAATTTGGAAGAGGATAAAAATAGAGTTTTTAACCAGTATTTCTTGCATGATATAATTGTTAGAATAAAAGCTATATGGGCTTGGGAGATAGCTCAGCAGCATAAGCACCTGCCTGGTAAGTGCAAGGACCCAAGTTCAAGCCCCAGAACCCTGGGCACACCATGCTGGCCCTGAAACTGGGCGTGGTAGCACATGCCTATAATTCCAGCACTAGGGAGGCTGAGACAGGAGGATCACTACAAGTCCAAGCTGCATAGCGAGACCCTGTGTCATATAAAAAAATAATAATAAAAGCTGTACCCCAGGAGCAAGGCACACTGTACATTCCTGTAATCACGGCTACTTAAGAGGCTGAGACAAAACAATCTCAAGTTTGAGGCCAGTCTAGGTAACCTATTAAGACCTCAGGGGAGAAAAAAGTACTTAAGGCTATAAACAAAGTAGGAATAAACAGTACCACCATTTGATAAACTTATGATAAAATTGTGATGACCATCAGTGTCTGCTAACAGCACACAATGAGACAGCCAGCAGTCCACAATAGAAATTCACTATGAACCACCTTTAAGGTCAGCCCAAAAATAGGCGTGGCTAGTACACATTTTTAAGCTACTAAGAAGGCTGAACAGCCCTCAAGATAGCTCAGCAGACTAAGCACCTGCTTAGGCAAGTGCAGGGACCAGGGTTCATCCTCCACAATGCCAGCCCCACTCCCAGGTGGGCAACTGAACCAGCCACCGGGCATGGTGGCACACGCTTGTAATCCCAGTACTGGGGAAGCTGAAAACAGTAGGATCACTGTGAGTCCAACCTGCACAGGGAGACCCTGTACCAGATACATCAAAATAAAAAGGCTGAACCATAATTATAATTTTAAGGTCAGCCTGTACTTAGGGACACCCTGTCTTAAAATAGAAAAGGTAAAGGTTAAAAAAAAAATTGTATAGTTTTGGGGATATAGCTCAATGGTGGAATGATTGTTTAGTATATGTAAGGTCTTAAATTCAGTCCCTAATAACAACAACAAATCAAGCTGGAATCATTAAAATCAAGTGTTAACAGAACTGATGCACTCAGGGTAATGTGATAATGTAGGAAAATATGACAAATAATAGAGGGAGATCTTAGAGGTAAAATAGAGAAAGAGAAGCTGGAGGTATATAGTATATAGGTTTGTGGCAGAGTGCTTGCGTACCACATGTGAGGCCCTGATTTGGATTCCAAGCACTACAGGAGAAAAGGGAGAAGAAGAGAGAGATTTTTATAATCCCTAATGAAGTCTCAATATTACTTTTCATAGAAATGGAAAAACTACCCAAAAATTTTTATGGAATCTCAAGGTAGTGCCCTCTGCCCCACCCAGCCAAAACAAACCTAAAAAATTAACATTGGAGGTACTTCCTTCCCAGTTCCAAATCTTACTGCCAAGTGGCAGGAATGAAAATAGCATTTTACTGATTTAAGTAAGGACAGTCATTTTGACTAGTGGAATAGAATTTGGAACTGAGAAACCCTCAGCCAGGCATAATGACGCATTCCTGTAACTCTAGTGTTCTGAGGTCCTGAACTGCAAGGATCAAAAGTTCATGTCCAACCCAGACAATTTAGTGAGACCCTGTCCCAAAATTAAATGAACAAACTCCTCACAGTTGCGTTGTATGAAAGGAAAGAAGGTTAGCATTTCCCTTGACAAAGATGGACGAGGCCCTCTGGCCTAACAATCTTCATAATTAAGTCATTAACACCTATTTCATGGCATCTAACGATTTGTATGCTCAGTTGTGTTGTTTTGTTTCTCCTACTAGGATTCCAAGATCATAAATGAAAAAAGAATATTCAACAAATGGGTGTTGGGAAAATTGAGTATGCAATGGGAAAAACAGTTGAATCTTTACCATATAACATGTTTAAAAAGAAACCCAAAAGGCTTCAATTTAAGAGCTAAAACTATAAACTTTTTATGGCCCCGTGTGGTGGTATATGTCTGCATTTGCAGCACTTGGGAGGCTGAGGCAGGAGGATTGGTGCAAGTTCAAGGCCAGCCTGAACTACATAACCAAGCCTTGTGTCAAAAAAAAGAAAAAATATGAGAACAAATCTTTATGTTCTTGAATTTGGCAGTGATTTCTTAAGACATCAAAAACACAGGAATTAAAATTAAATAAATTGGACTTCATTAAAATTGGTAAATTACAAGTGCATTATCAGGACAAAGACAAGCCAATGGGTAGAAGTATTTGCAAGTTACACATGTGATTAGGGTTAAAAAAGACAATCCAATTCAAAAATGGGTAATCAAGTTGAATAGACATTTCACCTAAGAAGCTCTACATACAAAAGAAGCTATACAAATGTCAATAAGCACAAAAGATAGATACACAACTTCGGCAGTCATGAAGGAAATGCAAATCAGAAACCACATTGAGACACTGTCATGCTTACTATGATTCATGGAAAATAATGAGTGTTGGTGATGTACAAAAACTCAAACCCTCATATATTGCTGGCCTTGAAGTTGCAGGGATCCTCCTGCCTCAGCCTCTAAAGTGCTGGGATTATAGTCATGCTCCACCATGCCTGGCTGTAGGAATGACATTTTGATATGTGCTACAATGCGTTTTAAAATATGACTCATTTAAGAAATTATTATTTGGGCATGGTATTACATGCCTATAATCTCAACACTCTGGTAACTGGAGTCAGGAAGATTTTAAATTCAAGGCCAGCCTGGCCAATTTAGCAAGACGCTTTTTCAGAATAAAGATTGGAGGCATATACTTCAGTAGTAGAGCAGTTAACTAACATGAGCAAGGCCCTGGATTCAGCCTCTAGTATTGCAGAACTTTTTATTTTTAAGTAATATTAGAAAATAGGGCTGGAGAGATAGCTCAGCAGTCTAAGTGCCTGCTAGACAAGCGCAAGGACCTGGGTTTGATTCCTGGTACCACATGCTGTGCCAGTCCCAGAGCCTGGGCATGCCCCGCTAGCCACCAAAACTGGATGTGGTGGTGCACGCCTGTAATTCCAGCACTGGAAAAGCTGAGACAGGAGGATCACTATAAGTCTGAACTGTGTATAGTGAGACCCTGTATCCAATAAACAAATAAAAAAAAAAAAAAACTTTAGCTGTTTATTTCCAGGGTTTTTTCATTGGGATGAAAGTAGAAAGGTCCTGAATTGGGCAATGACATGATGGTTGTTTTGTTGCAGGACCATGTTCTTTTGCGTGAAGGAGAAGAACCAAAATCAGACCTTAAAGGTGAGTAAACCTCCCTTCTATATGCTTTGCTACAGAAGTCACTGGTGTGCCTCAAAGAACAGAAGGGAGTATATCTTGGCACTTCTCAAGCCCACTGACCAGAACCAGCATAGATATATGTACTGCTGAGAGGATTTTCTGTTTGAAGAAGGGTGTTTTGGGGGGGGGGGTTATAACTATAGGTTTTCTTCTTTCCTAGTCATTGCTAATTTATTTCAATCTCAGACTATCTTAACAGAAGCCCATATCTGCCCCAAAGGGCAGGAATCCAAAACCCTTAAGAAACTCCTTGCCCAGGAGTACAGCAGGCTGAATGAAAACCAGAAAAGAGTATAAAGAGAAGAGGAGACAAGCAGCCTGTTGTGTGGGGAGGGCCTTACCCTGTCTTAATGAAGAGCAAGTGGCTTGGGCCTGTCTAGAGCTCAGACCTGGAGTTGCTCCATGGTTGTCTAAGCCAAGGTTCAAATCTTTCCAATGAAGGCACTGACCTCTGCCTTTGGGTCACCATTTATTTTAGCTGGTGACAGATATATGTGGCAATGTGTTTATTCTTCCCATTCGCTCAAAAATCTATATGGATAGTACTGCCTTGGCCTTGCTAAATCCTCAGATAAGGTGTAGTCTCCTACACTTCCGGAAATTTTGCTTTTTATACTTCAAATAGTAGAGATGGCAACAGAGTATTAAAAATGATAGAAATGACTTATTTAAAAGAAGTCAAGGATCTTTTCCCCCTTTTGGTACTGGGAATTGAACTTACAGTGGGCTACATCTCTAGCCTTTTTTTTTTTTTTTTTTTTTTTAATTTTGAAAAGGGGCATGAAGCCAGGTGTAATCCCAACACTCAGAAAGCTGAGACAGGAGAATTGTTGCGAGTTTGAGACCAGCCTGGGCTACAAAGTGAGCTCAAGACCAGTCTGAATTACATAGCAAGACCCTGTGTCAAAAAAAACAAAGAAAAAGAAAATAAACAGGGCCTCACTAAATAACTTAAGTTGCTCCAACTAGCCTCAAACTTTAGGATCCTCCTTTCTCAACCTCCAGAATACTAGGATTACAGGATTGTGCTACCGTGCCTGTCTTCAAGCAGTGTTTGTAGTACTCTCTTCCTTGTCACCTTCTAAATTTCTTGCTAGCACCTCTGTGACCCTGATTTCTATTAGCATGGCTTGCCTGGCAAGACAGCAACTGCCTCTAATAGACATTGTGCTGACTTTGTGTCCTACAGCTGCAACAAGCACCTCACCACAAGAAGAGCTGGGGACAAAGAGCAGCTTGAGAGAAGTGGACCATACCAAGGAGCTGGAGCCCATACCCACAGTTGACAACCATGAGCCCAGGCTGGGGCCACGGCCTCGTTCTCATAACAAGGTCTTGAACCCACCAGGAGGCAAATCCAGCATCTCCTTCTACTGAGAGGCTCCTTATAGCCAGACCAGAAACGTGAGATAGGATATCAGATGTTATCATCTTCTTTAACCCAAAA